TAGAACCCTGAAACGACCTCTAGCCTGGTCAAAGTCAGAGCAGGGCTACTCACAGATTGAACCCTGAACACTTGTAGTTTGATCAAAGTCAGGACAAACTGAGCTAACTCACAGATTGAATTGGAATTAAGCGTGTTAGGCCTTGCAAAGGCCGGAAACCTGGAGAAAAATCCTCGAATCAAGGGAGAAATCCAGCAAACTTTATACTCACGTGTGATCAGACTGAGTCATGGAATCGACCCAAGACCTCTGTAGTCAGTTACAGATAAGTGCACTTAACCACTATGCCGACCTTTTAAGAGCTCAGAACTGGGTTAATATTCAAGAAGATTCGATAAAAGCTGCATATAGTCTGCACATTTAAGAAGTCATAACACACTCGGCATCATTAAGATAAGAGAAACATTAAAACTATCAGAACTCTAAAAGAAATTCAAAATCGATAGTTCATTGTTTTTGATAAGAAAACTTCCGGGACATCACTTTGGATTGCTGTCATTTTGAGCGCTTTTGGCAAGAAAAAGTCACGATTGAATTTCTGGGGGGAAAGCGAACGAAGCGGTACTGGCTTTATTTGAAGTCCCGAACACAATTACAGGCTATTTGTGGGTCGCTTCAGGCTGTACAATTACAAAAACCCCTTATCCAAAATGTTAGACTCAAATACATCATCTATGCAAATACTGGTGACCACGTAATGCTTTAAAGAGCTGGAATCGCTATGTGTGAGTTCATAACACGCTAGCTTCCACTAACTGAAGAGAGATTATTGTGCAGTTCAAGTAATCTTCACGCCATATTCTTACCGCTTAACCAATCGTGCAGGTTAGAGACGAATGAATACTTTTCCTATCAGAACCGCGATGCAATTTTGATAGTTTTATCCTAACGAAATTACTATAATACCAGTTGCCTTTTAGGCTTTATAAACTCGACTTTAGTTTATAACTACTTATTTTGCAGTTCCAAGATCATTCATTGCTTTTTAGTCCTTTTGTAAAAATCTATTGGAATCGATTACGAAAATCGGCTTAGAGTATGGTATAGTGTATTAAGATTTGGGCTTGAAGAAAACTCGCGTCGGTCAAAATTTCTAAATGAATCGTGTTAATTTTAGTGGAAATTACCATTATTTTGTCGTAATTTTTAAAGCAAACTGAGATTCGTACGACGTCAAAACTAAACTTCAAGTTTCTATAAATGAGACGGAAAGAACCGAAAATGTCCTTGAAGACAGCACATATGCTGTCGGAAAACTTGAAACCGCATCAATAATGTAAACAAAACAATTTTCCAAAAAAAAGAGGGTTTATTTACATTTGAGCTTAATTCTAACCTGTGCTATTCAGTATTCAAATATGCAGCATTTGACATTTTTTGAAAACGTTTTTTATTGCCAATATTTCGAGGATACGATTTTTTCCTGAAGAAACAAATAAAAAAAAAAGGCAAATAAAATCGCAATTCATTTTACGTAGGTCTAACTCCGCGAATCTCATCGGTTGAATCATAGTTAATAGATTTTATTTTATTTCATAATACGGATGGTGTTTAACATTGTTATATCTCTTCGTTCTGGCAAGCTCCAACCAGGAATACAGCTTATTTATTCAAACTAGTATACTCGCTTACTGACTTTTCTTTCGGCGACCACTCGAACTTTTCTCGGGAAAAATTTTTCAGAGCACGACATCTATTTCAATATGCCATGATATAACTGTATTTGTGAATGAGCGAAAACGCAGGCAATGCAGCATTGTAATTATTTATAGATTGATAGGTCTGTCTATTTTATTATTTAAAAAACGCAGTGTCTAAATGCCCGGCAGCCGGTCGCGGTCTAAAATTGACTAAATGCCCGGCAGTCCAAACTTTCACCAAAAAAACGAGAACTGGCTACAGCTAATGGAATCAAACTAGTCTAACTTTATTATGGTATATTAAGCGCTTCCTGTAGTCTGGACTGATTCGAAAAAAGATTGTTTGTATTCGCTCGGCATAGAATACGGAGCACTTGGTTCATGTCACTTAGAATATTTTTGCCAACACTGCCGGTCGCGGTCTCAAATACACTAAATGCCCGGCAGTCGAAACTTTCCGATAAAATGATGAATTATTAAAATAATACTATGTAGCAATGGTTAAATAAAATTGCATTGTGTTATTAATGGTTAAATAAAATTGCATTGTGTTATTGCATGTGCCTTTAGCACCTTTTCGCTCTTCTTACCACAACTAGCGTGACATGAACCAAGTGCTCGGTATTCTATGCCGAGCAAAGACAAACAATCCTTATTAGAAGCAGTGTAGAGTACAAGAAGCGCATAATATTCCTCGATAAATTTAGACTAGTTTGGCTTCATTAACGAAGGTAATTTATCGTATTTTTTGCGAAAATTGCGACCGGCAGTGTTGGCAAAAATATTCTAAGTGACATGAACCAAGTGCTCCAATCTATTTTCGAATCAGTCCAGACTAAAGGAAGCGCTTGATAAACCATAATAAAGTTAGACTAGTTTGATGTCATTAGCTGTAGCCAGTTCTCGTTTTTTTGGTGAAAGTTTGGACTGCCGGGCATTTAGTCAATTTTAGACCGCGACCGGCTGCCGGGCATTTAGACACTGCGTTTAAAAAAAGGCATGCCCCATGTATCGCATAATGTTCCCAAATTCGTGCCGCGGGTCATTTTTGTGGTTATTTCGGGCTGCTCGATATATTTGACAATTTGTCACGTGACACATCGAACTTTCTAGGGAATCATGGGTAGGGAAAGTACACTCGTCTAATTCACCTCTGGGGTGTCGGCATCACATGTGAGTAGAGTTTGTTAGGTCTCTCCCTTGATTCAAGGGTTTTCTCTAGGTTCTCTGGTTTTCATCCATCCGCAAAACCCAACACGCTAAATTCCAATTAAATCTGTGAGTTAGCCATGCATTGGCTTTCATCAGCCTAAAGGGAGTTTCAGAGTATCTGCAAAATTGAATGTTTACTAAACAAGACAGACATTCCTAATGGCTAGCTATTTTCAATAATATTTAAGACTAGTCCCCAGTTCCCTAGGAAGAATCGGAACCATGGTAAAACCCATCATAATCTTCGAACTTTAACTACATGAATTCACGAGTCGCTTTCAACCAATTTACCGTAGTCAACGTTAGATATCAAACAAGGACGAGTAAATTTGACCTTCCAATTTTATCGAACCAATGAAATAACCTCTGGGCTGATCAAAGTCAGGGCATTGTTACTCTGGAACAGTCTCTGGGCGGATCAACGTCAAGGCACGGCTAACTCATAGATCAAACCCTTAAATAACCTCTGGGCTGTTATTTTTCAAAAGACAAGGCTAACCCTGAAGCAACCTCTGGGTTGATCAAAGTCAAAGCTTGGCTAACAGTCAAAGATCAAACATTGAAAACGCCTCTGGATCGATCAAAGTCTAGACGCACGGCTTACTCACAGATCAAACCCTGTAACAGCCCTTAGGCGGATCATACTCAAGGCAGTCTCTCTTGCTCTGAGCAAAACATACGTTTCCCTTCTAATTAATATTCAGTTTCTAATTAATATTAGGTTTTTCATATAATTCCTAATTGTTGTTATTTTGCTGATAATTATCTGTTCGATAGTTCTCTTCATACAATATGTAAAATGACGGTATAAATGAGTTGTCAATAAATTTTGTACCGACAATAAATGTACCATAAATGCCGATTAGAAAAAGCTAATACTTATTAATAAACGTACAACCAGTCCTAAAATACGAGTAGACCCAACGCAGAACAGATGGCAGAAAAAGACCTCTTCAAGCACGGTAAACTAGCCCTGCCTTTTTGCTCCCGAATCTAATCAATCAATTGTCTGGAACCCTTACAAACAGATCCAAATGACTCCCAAGAACGGCCTCTTCAAGAATAATTAATAACTCTTTTGTTGTTTTTTTTTTTTTGCTTTTTTTTCTTTTGCTCTTTTTTTTTCTTCACCACTTTAATGCATTTTCATGTGGCCACAAGGTTATCAGGTTCTTTTCTACCCACGTCTTCGAGATAATTCCATAATCATACTCTTGACATATAGAAATTAAAATGAAAACACACCCACGATAAGAAAACCGGGAGCGCTGAAACCCGAGAGGGGGTGGGTGGGATTCTAGAAACGCAAGCCATTCTATCCCCCTGTCTATATCATTTATCCTTTTGTCCAGTATGGTGAAAAAAAATTTCCGATTAAAACCAACAAGATCTAACAAACAAAGCCCATCTGCTTTAACAAGTATGCATGTTTTGTGAATCGAGTGAGAGCGAAAGCGAGGACTCGATCTAAAATCGTACACGTTGATCAAATAAAGTGCTGCTGTTATCCAATAAATTTAACCACTAGATAAGATTTTCTATCAGCTAGTGCCCTGGTGAATAAGCAATCATTCTCTGCATGTTCGACGTAAAATAAATGACATTATGATCATAACTCATCCGAATAAGAAAATTTTGAACTAAGAAATTTAATTGCTACACTGAATTATTTTAGTTCGATAAAAGTGAAGATTGGCTACGACTTTGATTTTTTTAAATTTAAAAACTTGAAAAACGGAAATGAGATTTGAATATTGATATAGCGATATCTCTACGCTGGGGTACTTTTATTGATTAAAAAAATGTATTTTAGGATAAATTAATGTCTATACTTAAAGCAAAAACACAAATCCTCTTTATGACCCAAGCCTTACAGCGTATTTAAGCATTAACGATTAAAAAAAATATTGATCAGTCACAGAAAGCAGCCTGCACTTCATCTTTTATCCCTTTTCCTCAGCTCTTATCATTTTATTGGAGAATAGGAAAGACAGACTTAAGAAAACATCTAGAGCTCTTTATTCAGATGATGTGTGCTGGTATACATAACACTCATGACGTCTATGTGCTTAGAGTCATAATTCGCCGAGTGTCAGATTTCTTTTCGAATCTTTATAAAAGGTAATCTATGCGTTTTTTCTTATTCAGACACTCGTTGTGAGCTGATATGATGAGTAACTTAACAGCCATGATTGAAGACAACAGCACAAGTAATGGTGAGTCAAAACTATACTACGCGTCAACTTAATATAGCAATAACTGATATTGTAACTGTTATATATCATATTGTATTGCTGCTGCTGTTAGAGCGCATAGAGTAGAACCATGAAATAAAAACGAAGTTGATACTGACAAATAGTAGCTATTTATGACTGATAGTTGCTAGCACTCAACTAGTCCATTTATTAAACAAAAGACACAAATGGTCTCTTGTGCATTTGTCTTTGTATATCAGGGGCGTAGCGAGGACCTAGGAGCTGGGGGGGCATTGATCCAAAATTTTTAAAAAAATTACTCCTCCCCAATAAAACAAATAAACGCTGAAACAAAAATGTAAGAAACAAACATTATTTTATTAACCATTCTTAAAGGGCCACTTGGACGAAAATCGCTCCAAAATTAAAACTCTTTCATTCGAGCTGGAACTTTGCTGAAATAATCT